TAGGCTCCTTCTGGGAAGAATAAGAGAAACTGCCCAATGTTGTAGCTCAGTAGCTAATACTTTATCTTTTCACAATGGTAGCCTGGGTTCAATTTCCAGCCTAGGGAATGAGGCCTTTCTGGTGTACTTGTGTGACCTTTGTCATTTATTAATTCTCTTTTCCTCCATGAACAACTTCTTTTTTATTTTTATTGCTTTTTTTTTTTTGTCCATGCCATGGCCCTCAGGAGATCCTGAGAACATGTGCCCACTCCATGAACAACTTCTAGCTTCCTTTCTCAAATTTTCCTTTCTCTGTGCTACCTTTGGAGATTCTAGATCTTGTAAAAACTGCTTACCACCTCTTTGGAAACACCCTGTACGCTCACAGTTAAGTCATAACCTTAGTTAAAACTTATTGGTTTCATCCGGGAAGTTACCTTTGGTAAAGTCCAAAAGCCAGAAATATTGGCTGTGTGCCTTAACTAGAGTCTGGTAATAAGAGACTTGGTTAAAAGCCAGCTTAATTAAAAGCAGATGTCCAAGCTATGCATACATTTTAAAGGCCTTTATGTTTTTTTATTGGATTTTACTTTTCTGGAAAAAAAAAAAACTTGTTTTCTTCTCAGACAACTGAATTCCCTTTCTCCAGTTTTCTTTTCTTGCCACCTTCATGCCCACATAAGAGGACCTAAGATAATGTCTAACAACCTGGGACTCCTTGAGAAAAACAGAGGAGGTGCCACAGACCCCATTTTGTGGAAAACCTCTCTTTTCTTCATGGAATCCCAGGAATTAAAAGCAGATAGATGCCTCTCAAAATCTAAGGCTCTGTTCTGTTTTGCATTGCATTATCTGACATTTTGACATGGGGGGGTTATCAGAAATTATTTTGCATTATGAGAGAGCTTTTAGCCTTAATGTGTAATAAGTAGGTAGGAAATATACTTAAGGGATGGCTAATGGTAGTTATGGGGGGATTCTCAGCTCTTTGCATGTTTGGATCAAAGAAGCATGCTCTCAGCCACCTAAAAGGTGTGGAAACATCCCCAACTCCCACTGAGAGATGAGTCTCCCATGGGGGATGGGCTGATGACCTCTTTTTTGTGATCCAGGATCCAGGATAAAAATGGGTCCCTTAATTTTGGGGGATCTGTTTTGCCTTCCAGCTGTGTCTGCTTATTAGGCCCTAGAAACTGCATGCTTCCCTGGCCTTGCTTTTTAAAAGGCTCCACCCTAAAGCCAGTTAGTAATTCACTTACATCCTTAGAGAAATCTCCATGTGTAAGAGTATGCTTTCCTTGACTGTCTTTTTTTTTTTTTTTTTTTTTTTTTGAAACATAATTTTGTTCTTGTCACCAAGGCTGGAGTACAATGGTACAATCTTGGCTCACTGCAACCTCCCTCCTGGGTTCAAGTGATTCTCCTGCCTCAGCTTCCTGAGTAGCTGGGATTACAGGTGCACAACACCACGACCAGCTAATTTAGTAGAGAAAGGGTTTCATCATGTTGTCCAGGCTGGTCACAAATTCCTGACCTCAGATGATCCACCCACCTTGGCCTCCCAAAGTGTTGGAATTACATGAGCCACCATGCCCAGCTCTGGTTGTCTTAACTAAACTCTTATTCACACCATTTTTCCTTGGTTTGAATAAAATATAAATTCTCTATATTGTTTCATCTTTAGAAATATAATTTAGCATTGCTTAGCTGACAGTTAGGACAGGGAACAGAAGAAAATAGAAACAAGGTAGAAAGAGAAAAAAAACAGTCGGGGAGAGAGATGTGAAGAAAGTTATCAATATGAAGATGTATTTTTGGTAAGGAAAGTCATAAAGAAAAAAAATGTCGACCAGGCACGGTGGCTCATGCCTGTAATCCCAACACTTTGGGGGGCTAAGGCAGGTGGATCACAAGGTCAGGAGTTCAAGACCAGCCTGGCCAAGATGGTGAAACCCCGTCTCTACTAAAAATACAAAAATTAGCCAGGTGTGGTGACAGGTGCGTGTAATCCCAGCTACTCAGTAGGCTAAGGCAGAGAATTGTTTGAACCCAGGAGGTGGAGTGTGCAGCGAGCCAAGAGTGCACTACTGCACTCCAGCCTGGGTGACAGAGTGAGACCCTGTCTCAAAAAAGAAAAGAAAAGACGTGTTATGTGAGAAAAGATCTCACATGGCAAATCCTTGTCCTAAAATAGAATGACTGATTATTTAGTAAAGAGGGAAATATAGGACAAGTTGGAAAGTTCAAGCATGTCATAGATGGCTTGTGTGCATCATAACAGGGTTCATAAAATGGGAAAGAAAAACTTTAAAACTGGCAAATGAAAAATTTTACAACTACTGGTTCTGCTTCTGTCTGTCTGTGTATCTTAAGTTTTGGTTTTTGTTCTTGTTTTTGTTTTCCTTGTCTGTGTATTTATGTGTTGTATGTGTGATATTTATATAAAAAGCCCTAATTAATTGGCTTAAAGAAAAATAAGTTCTGAATTCAAATATTTTGTCAGAAAAGTGAAAACCTTAATGCCTTTTAGTTCACATGACTTTAGTAATATTTAGGAAATAAAGACATTTCTCAAGATTATTGGTAAAATAAAAACACCTTCAAACTTAGACATTTAGTCTAAATTAGGCAGGTCAAATACTGTCATTGCTAGATGGTTTAAGGTTATAAACTACTACTTTGACTTTTGATACTTGTTAAACTTACCTGCTTTGGAGTTAGATTCTAGATAAGGCCTGGGAACATGTGGAGTTATCCATGCCTCCAACTGTGTTGGAAAGAGTCAGACCTTATCTCCATTTCTATCTGGTGCCCTAGGCTACACACCTAGTACATAAATAAAATTGCTTATTTACCAGGTTTTTCACCAAAAATAAAAGTTGCTAAGAGTTAATATAACATATGTAAATTGGGACTACTGGAAAAACTATTTTACGTGCAAGGTATATAAGGAAAGTAGAATGTGTTTTTGGTAAAAGATTGTAAGAAAGTTGGCCAGGCACAGTGGCTCATGCTTGTAATCCCAGCACTTTTGGAGGCCAAGGCAGGTGGATCACGAGGTCAGGAGTTCGAGACCAGCATGGCCAATATGGTGAAATTCCTTCTCCACTAAGAATATAAAAATAAGCCAGGTGTGGTGGCATGTGCCTGTAGTCCTAGATACTCAGGAGGCTGAGGCAGAAGAATCATTTGAACCAAAGAATTGTTTGAACCAGGGAGGCGGAGGTTGCAGTGAGCTGAGATTTTGCCACTGCACTCCAGGCTGGGTGACAGAGTGAGGCTCTGTCTCCAAATAAAAAAATAAAAAAGAAAAAGAAAGTATGGGCATGTGGATTTTTCCCTAATTTAGAGAGTTAAAGGATAGGATAAAGCTGAGGTTTGAGTAAGTTGTGAAAGGTTTATGAAAGAGTAGTGTTGTAAAAGAAATTCTGTGTGTCAGCATATTGGGTAAAATTAAAGGGGTATTACTCAATTTATCTGTAAATTGGACATTGGAATAAAAGCATAAAATGGCTTTCTTAGAGCACAGTTCTACTCTTTAACCAAAAAAAAAAAAAAAAAAAAAAAACCATAAAAAGTTATAAAAGGTTCATAAGAATCTTACCTTATGATCAAACTGATTAAGATTAGATAGACTTGTCTATAAGATTTTTTTTTTTTTTTGGCTGGGTGCAGTGGCTCATGCCTGGAATCCCAACACTTTGGGAGGCCAAGGTGGGCAGATCATGAGGTCAGGAGATCGAGACCATTCTGGCCAACATGGTGAAGCACGATCTCTACTAAAAATATAAAAATTAGCTGGGTATGATGACACGCACCTGTAATCCCAGCTACGTGGGAGGTTGAGGCAGGAGAATGGCTTGAACCAGGGAGGCGGAGAATGCAGTGAGCCAAAATCATTCCACTGCACTCCAGCCTGGCAACAGAGCAAGACTCTGCCTCAAAAAGAAAATTTTTTTTGCCCAGGCTGTTCTCAAACTCCTGGGCTCAAGCAATTTTCCTACCTCAGCCTCCTAAAGTGCTAAGATTAGAGGCGTAAGCCACTTTTACCTGGCCAGATTTGTCTATAAGGTTTTGTTAAGAACTGGATTTAACATCAATATAGTACACTAACACAAAGGTGAAATTTGGCTCTCTTGAACAAGATATTTGTGTAATTTTTTTTAAATGAAAGATTTTTGCTTGCCTTTTGAATAAACTACAGAAAAAAGAATGAAACAAAAGAGAGATTATTTGGAAAGCTAAGTCTTCACTCTATCAATGAACAAAGGTTTTTCTCTCCCTTTTTTTTTTTTTTTTCTTAACAGTCTTGCTCTGTTACTCAGGCTGGAGTGCAATGGCATGATCTTGGTTAGCAGCAACCTCTGCCGCCCTGGTTCAAACAATTCTACTACCTCAGCCTCCTGAGTTGCTGGGATTACAGGCATGCACCATTACGCCTGGCCAATTTTTTGTATTTTTAGTAGGGATGGGGTTTCACCACATTGGCCAGGCTGGTCTCGAACTCCTGACCTTGTGATCTGCCCACCTCGGCCTCTCAAAGTGCTGGGATTACAGGCATGAGCCACCATGCCTGGCCAGGTTTTTCCGTTTTTAAAATCTTCGAGTTATCATTTTGGCTAAATAAATGACTTATGGTGTGCTGGGATTCTATTTTATATCAAGTATTTTAAACCTTTGATATTTGAAAACTTTCCAAAATCAAATTATAAATTACCTTTTTCTGACCTCATTAAACCTTTAGATATTAGGTACCCTAAAGTCCAAAAGAGACACACTTGGCTTATTTTGTATATTAAAATCATACAGAAAGCACTGTCAAATACAAAATAGCATTTGGCTTTCTTTGGGCTGTATTTGTATAAATGTGCTATTGGTATGTTTTCCAAAATTACGCTATACTCCTATAATACTGATATGATTTAGTGCACATTATCAGTAATAATTATAATTTTTTTTTTTTTAGAGGCAGAGTTTTACTATGTTGGCCAGGCTGGTCTTGAACTCCTGACCTCAAGTGATCCACCGCCTCAGCCTCCCAAAATGCTGGGATTACAGGTGTAAGCCACTGCACCCAGCCAATTTTTTTGTATAATTGTTGTATGCCACAGAAGTAACCTTGACTGCTGTAAGACTTATTGTCCTCTACAGACAATTGTTGTCTTGTTTTGATCCTCTTTAAAGGGTGGATATAATCAGCTATAGGACTCTGGTGAGTACTCTTAAATGCAGGTCTTTGATACTTTTGGAAACTGTGCCATTAAAATAGAAAAGAACTTCAAAGACTCTTGGAAAAGCAATGTATACATAAATGTTGAGTGAAGCAGGAATTGCACAGACTGAAATAAGAAAAGATGAAAATAATCTTTTTATAACTTTTTGCCTAAAATATTGCTGATCCTTTCTGTCTTTTCAGATTCAAGAAAACTTTTCTCTTGAGCTATTTACAGTTTTTAACAATTAAGTAAAATATATTCCTATAAACAAAATTTGGAACATATTCTTTTTCTCTACCTCATTTCTCCCAAATTTGGAAACTGTAAATATTCTTAACTTATGGCAGTATAATTATTTGCACAAGTGCAGTCAGAATCTGTTCTCTTTTGTAACAGGAAACCACTAGAGACAATGGTTATTTTACTAAGGCTTTGACTGGAATGGCATGCATTCAGGTACAAAAAGACTACTTATAAGGAATCAAAGTTGACTTACAGACTCAGAAAAAGCCCCCTGGGAAAACTGGCCTCATGCCTTGTCTATGCAATCCTTGCACAGGGATCCTGACCTGTGGTAAGAAGAATGTCACTTTCTAAAGAACGTTTCTTTTTTTTTTTTTTTTTTTTTGAGAGAGGGTTTCACTCTGTCACATAGGCTGGAGTGCAGCAGTACAATCTTGGCTTACTGCAACATCTGTTTCCCAGGTTCAAATTATTCTCCTGCTTCAGCTTCTGAGCAGCTGGGATTACAGGCATATGCCATCACACCTGGCTAAATTTATTTTTGTATTATTAGTAAAGACAGGGTTTTCACCATGTTGGCCAGGCTGGTCTCAAACTCCTGACATCAAGTGATCAACTCACCTCGGCCTCCAAAAGTGCTGGGGTTACATTTTTGTAACCACTGCACCTGGCCAAAAATGTCACTTGCTGGCCCAGGAGTCCCAATTATCCTGGAACACTGAAAGGAGAGAAATGTACCCAACTCATACAAGTATTTGAAGGTACAAACTCATGGCTGGGCTCAGTGCTTTAAAAGGCGTAATCCGAGATTCCCTATCAAACAAAGTTCCATCAAACCCAATTTAAAAAGAGCCCCTATGGCAAATAATTACTCTTGCTGCACTTTATACAAATAATCAGACCTAGTATACTAACACAGTAAAACTTAGTTTGCAAATAAATGACCTATCGTGATTTGTTTTTAATAAAAATGAGAACTAGAGAAAAATTACATTTCAAAAACTGTGACCACCTGTTATTAGATTCTAGTCTCATCTGTTGCTTTTTGAGTTTTTTCTGTAATTTAGACTGACTCTGCTTGTTCCTGTGAACCAACCAGTGATCTCCAGCTGCTGCTCAGAAGAAACAAGAGGGAGGGTAGTGTAAAAATCTGGATCAGTATTTTAATTCTGGGCATGTATTGGAATCAGCTAGTGACTCTGTATCAGTTTGGTTTCAACAACTGCCCAGTTCATGAAAAGCTTTCTTATTTAGTTCACTTGGGATAATTTTACTTATTTTGCTTTACTTTTGTGGAGTATATTGCTGTCATACTCTGTGTAAAAATGCAAGATAAGCTTACTCAATGTTTTCTTAAATTGAGCACTTATTAATCTTTCAGATATCACCTGTTGTCAGAACTCAAAGTTCTGAAGGGCCCTCACCATACTGAGGCTTTCTAACTAAGCTCCTATCTACCCTGGATATGAGAGACCCTAATAGGCAGGAATATCATTGGCCCTGTTCAGCCTGAAAAAGTTACAGAAGATGGATCTTTGACCCTCTTTAAACCCTCAGAATTAAAGATCCCCTTGTAAAAAGGAGGGGGGAAATGTCAGAGGTATTCGAACCAGAGCAACTCCATCTTGAACAGGGTCTGGGTAAAATGAAGCTGAGACCTGCTGGGCTGCATTCCCAGATTAGGCATTCTTAGTTGCAGGATGAGATAGGAGGCTGGAACAAGATACAAGTCACAAAGACGCGCTAATAAAACAGGAGGCAATAAAGAAGCTGGCCAAAATGTGCCAAAACCAAGATAACAATGAAACTGACTTCTGGCTGTCTTCATTGCTGCTATACTAATTATAATGTGTTACCATGCTAGAAGACATTCCCACCAGTGCCATGACAGTTTGCAAATACCAGGGCAATGTCTAGAAGTTACCCTAAATGGTCTAAAAGAACAAGGAGCCCTCAGTTTCAAGAAATCACCATGGCTTTCCTGGAAAACTCATGAATAATCCATCCCATATTTAGTATGTAATCAAAAAATAACCATAAAAATAGCCAACCAGTAACCCTCAGGGCTGCTCTGCCTATGGAATAGCCATTCTTTTATTTCTTCTCTAATAAACTTGCTTTCACTTTACTCTATGGACTTACCCTGAATTCTTTCCTGTATAAGATCCAAGATCCCTCTCTTGGGGACTGGATCAGGACCTCTTCCTGGTAATAATATGACCCAACAATTCCACTCCTAGGTATATACCCAAAAGAAATAAAAACATGTCTATACAAAAACTCGTACCCAAATGTCCATGGCTGGACTTGATGGCTCACCCCTGTAATCCCAGCACTTTGGGAAGCTGGATCACTTGAGCTCAGGAGTTTGAGACTAGTCTGGCCAACATGGTGAAACCCCATCTCTACTAAAAATACCAATATTAGCTGGGTGTAGCGGTGGACAACTGTAATCCCAGCTACTTAGGAGGCTGAGGCAGGAGAATCACTTGAACTGGGGAGGGCAGAGGTTGCAGTGAGCTGAGCAAGACTCCATCTCTTAAGGAAAAAAAAAATGTTCATAAGCAGCATTATTTGTAATAGCCAAAAGTCAAAACAACTCAGATGTCCACCAACTGATTCATGGATATACAAAACATGGTATATACATACATTGGAAAATTATTTGACAATAAAAAGAAATGGGACTGGGTACAGTGGCTCATGCCTGTAATCCCAACACTTTGAGAGGTCAAGATGGGAGGACTGCTTGAGCCCAGTTGTTCGAGACCATCCTGGGTAACATAGTTGAGACTTCATCTGTATAGGAAAAAAATTTTAAGTAAAAAAAAAAAAAGAAAGAAAGAAAGTACTGATACATGATACAAGATAGATAAAGCTTGAAAATATTATGCTAAGTGAAAGAAGTCAGTCACAAGACCACATATTATTCCATTTATATGAAATACTGAGAATAGGTAAGTTCATAGAAATAAAAAGTAGATTAGGGTTCCCAGGGGCTGGAGAGAGAAGGTTGAAGGGTGGGATGAAATAAGGAGTGATTATTAATGGGTATGGAGTTTCTTATTGGGGTAGGAAAATGTTCTGAAGACTGATTATGGTGACAGTTACACAATTCTGTGACTATACTAAAAATCAGGCACTTGTTCTTCAAGTCATCTACAGGTCTCTTCCCAGCATACTTTCCTTTTTTTTTTCCTGTTCTAAAGCCTTTTAAAAATAAACTTTCACTCCTGCTCTGAGAAAACAAAATCATTGAGGAATATACTTTAAATGGGTGAGTGGTATGTCATATGAATTACATCTCAATAAAGCTGTTGTTTAAAAAAAATTAAAGTATAGATAAAGGCTATATGAGCTGGATGGAGTTTAGATTCTGTTGTAATATCTCCTAAGTCCATTAAGACCCATAGCCAACCTATGAAACTGCAATAATCTGAACCTTGGCTTTACTTTAAAAAAAATAAAAACTAACATCGAGGCCTTGGACCTCATTTTTGGTCATTCCCTACCAGCTCTGTACCACTTGTTTAATCGATTTCATGAGAAACATACCCAAAGTAATGATGTATATTTACTGAGCATTTATTATGTGATAGGTACTTTTCTAGGACCCAGGATTCAACAGTGAGACATGTAGTCCCTGTATACAAGACACTTACACTACATTCACCAGGCAATCTTCAGAGGGCATGGTAAGTGCTACACAAGGGTAAGTACTGGGTACTTCAGAAGCATGACCTGGGGTTGGGGTATTAGCATAGCATCACAACAGAAGTGATGTCTAAACCAAAGGTAACTAAAGTTGATAAGAAAGAGGCATAACAGGAGCATTCTAGGCAGACAGAGTAAGTGCAAAGTCCTAGACGCAACAGAGAGAGAACGGGGCATTTAAGGAATTAAAGTAGTGTTGTGTACTTGGAGTACAAGAATGGGGGATAAGGTACAGGCAGGATTGGCACAGATGAAGCTGGAGAAGACTGAGTTCTTTTAAACTTGAAGTATGACAAAAAAAAAAAAAAACTTGGGAGCCCCTATTGAAGAGATCAAAGTACCTCCTGATGGCAACAGAGAACCATTGAAAGGGCTTTAATATTGGGGGAAAATGTGATTAGGATTTTGTTTCATGCACCCATTCCAGCCACATTGCAGAAAATGAATTAGAGGGGCATGGAATTTGACTGAAGACAAAAAGTGGAATCACAGAAAAGGCTGTTGCAGTGATCTAGAAAAGGAAATGCCTGAATTACTAGTGTTGAGTAAGATTGGAAAAAGAAGTGGACAGCTTGAGAGATGTTTAGCAGATAGTATTGTCAAGACTGAGTGATTGACTAGATGGGGGGGGTGATAAAAGAGGAATAAAGGATGATGACCAAATTTCTACTGTGGATCACTGTGGGGTACCATCTGCTGAAATTTTTCTTTTAATTTTTTGAGACAGGGTCTCACTCTGTCACCTAGGCTACAGTGCAGTCATGAGATTACAGCTCACTGCAGCCTCAACCTCCGGGGCTCAAGCAATCCCCCCACCTCATCCTCCTGAGTAGCTGGTACTACAAGCACATGCCACCAAGCCGAGATAATTTTTTTTAAGACATGGGGTCTCATTATGTTGCCCAGGTTGGTCACAAACTCCTGGACTCAAGTAATCCTCCTGCCTCAGTCTCCCAAAAGTTCTGGGATTACAGGTGTGAGCCGCTGCGCCAGGCTAAAATTTTGTTTTAAAGAATCAGGTTTAGCCGGGCGCGGTGGCTCAAGCCTGTAATCCCAGCACTTTGGGAGGCCGAGGCGGGTGGATCATGAGGTCAAGAGATCGAGACCATCCTGGTCAACACAGTGAAACCCCGTCTCTACTAAAAATACAAAAAAAAAAAATTAGCTGGGCATGGTGGTGCGTGCCTGTAATCCCAGCTACTCAGGAGGCTGAGGCAGGAGAATTGCCTGAACCCAAGAGGCGGAGGTTGCGGTGAGCCGAGATCGCGCCATTGCACTCCAGCCTGGGTAACAAGAGCGAAACTCCGTCCCAAAAAAAAAAAAAAA